TTTATATGCGTATCAGGGTCTCAGCCTCTTTGTCCAGCCTCTCTCTTCTCTTTTCAGGCCTGGCCTACTTCCTACTGTACTGTAGTGCTGATCCTGTGCGAGTGCACCACAGCCTGTAGTGGCCACTGTAGATCTATTCATCTGCTCTCTCACATTCACAGTACTGGAGGACAGCAACAGGGAGCCTGACCAGCTTCATCCCAAGAGTATGGAAAGTCAGATGGGTCAAAATTCACCTGGTTTTAGCACCGTCAGGCCATTTTAAAGTGCTATCTGGCTAAGTGGTGCCAGAGCTGTTAAATCCACTGTGTAATTGAGTTGCATTTTGAAGAGCTATGAAGACCACATAACCATAAAGTTTTTCAGGTTTATAGCATTTGCAACATAGAGAAATTAAGTTCTTCTTACAAAGTTAAATTACACGTTTTGTATGGGTTTTTGTTTAAAAATCTCCTCCAGATATGTATTAGGACAAATATACAAATTGTCTACTTGGAACAATAAAGTGTGTCTGATGAAAGTATGATTTCGCCATTAAAATCCTTAAAAGGCATCTACTCATTTTACCTCATAAAACATTTTCTCTCAATCTATTTTTTCATTTCTAAGATTTGCCTGCCACTAAAGTCCATTTACAGTGTATGTGCACACTGGTGGCTTCAACTTTCTACACCACAGTTGTATAAGTTGCATGCTGGACCAGGAATGATCTCAAAAGTCATGCTCATAGGCTCTGCACCTTAAAAATCAGATTTTCGAATAACAGAGAAATTGTGAATGTGAATGTGAAATCATCCTTCTAGTGCCAAACTATGCACATACATGATTCTGCACTGTGGAAACACCCAACTGTAGGAACAACAACATAGTTCTGACTGGAGGGGTACTTTAAAATGTATATTGTATGTTTTTTTATGATATAAATTGATTGAAAATTAGCAATAAGATTCATAATATAATTTATTCAGAATAGATTTAACCCACAATTGAATGACAAACAGATCACTTTCTTGACGCTGATTCTTGAACCTGTGACCACTGTCATAAAAGAAAGTTGCCTTATCAATTATACTACTGGGACATATATCCCAACATGATCATGCATTTATTTAACAACGCACTTATAAAACAACTGATGTTGCTAAAATCAAGCAAATTTTGACCCATTTGGTGTTCCATAACAGAGACACAATTTTCTATGCTTCAAAGCTTTGACCAATGTAATCGATGTACAAATCTGTGTACATTTACTCAAGACTGCCAAGGTATATTAACGACTGGCAACCCATTTAGGAATTTTGAAGAGAAACACCATGAGTGAGAGACGTTATCTGGTAGTACATGGACAGGGATATTTTACAAGCATGGACCAGGTACAGCATTTAGATTGGCAACGTCATCAACAACAAGAATCCTCCACACAAGGCTCACCTACTGGTGTAAAAATTAAAATTAAAATTAAAATTATAAAACATACAAGGAGGGGTGGGGCAGAGAGAGAGAAAGAGAGACAGAGGTGTTGTGTGCTTTGCATTCCTGTCATCAACCCCTGCAGAGCGCATATTTTTGTCATATGAACTCCAGACCAGAGTGGCCCCCCTTGGTCGAAGCTTCGGTTATTCTCACTGAAACTTCGATGCCCAAAAATTTGTATTTGGGATAGCCCTAGTAAAATGTAAAAAAATCTGTCTCACAGGTTTTTGAACAATGCACTGACCCTAGGTGTGCCAGGCTGCCAAAGTGGGAAATTTAAATCCTGCTCCATTTGCAATGACTTACTTGTGCTAACCTGTTGCATAGTGTTAGTTACTTTGTACCACTGCTTAACATCTATCTACGGTGGAACTGTAAAGTTGTCATATTGATACCCGATATAAAAAATTTTTCAACCTGTAAAATATCATGTCAGATTTTATTTACCATGTCCTTTAAAGTAAATGAGCATCCACTTGAACTTGGAAAATGTGGTTGCTTCTGCTATAATATTGTCTCAGAAAAAGCTAATTTCTTTGAAATTAAGTAAAAATTTAATTTCAAATCAAATGTGTTTATTTCAAAAAGTCTAATACCATATTGTTAACAATGAATACACATTGCCATATTGTTAAATATATAGAAAATAAAATGTCAGTGAATTGCTCACAACATCAAAATCCTTTTGCAGGAGTACATTACATTTTTAGTACTGGCAACCCAGGCAGTACTGTATGTCAATCAAATTCCTGAGCCTGACAGTCCTCCAGAGTGCTCAGACATACAATATAACTTTCATTATGCTGGGCTTTTCAGTTTTATTGTACTTAAAACACACACTGAAACCGTTTTAGCAGGAGAAATAAAAGGGGCTTCATTATTATGGCAGAAAAATATATTTACAGTGAGTGCTCACTTGGCCCCCATTCCCCACTCCAATCTGGATTTCATATTAGCCAGAAGGAAATTGGATGGAATTCACAACATCACAGCAAGCTCATAAATGAAACAAAATCACATAATCTTAAATACCAATTTATCCACTTAACAAATGAAGCAGTGTATTTGTGGCTTATTGCTGTGTTGTACTGGTGAATGACTCATTTTAACTGTGTGTTGCACTAGTAAGGATAAACTGAGCACTGGCACATGACCTAAACCACATACTCAACACTTCAAAAGTATCTGGCAGAAATACTCAGATCCGGAGACATACAGTAGTCTATACAGTGCTGCTACACTGCACATGACCATTCAATTCAATTCTTCAACATCAAATATCTTATTCAAAAAGTTTTATAGAGATCAAAATCATCTTTCATCTCTATTTATATAACACAACTGAACACTAATATTAAACCCATGAATTGTTAACTCCACAAGTTAACATGTGAAATTGTGTTACAGATTTTTTACATAAAGTATGCTTAACTCAGAAATGTGGCAATGTCTCTTATGTACATGCATATACTTTTTTAGTCTAACAACATTATTGAGAATAACAAATAATGGAATTCTTGGTGCAACTGGGATCATGTATAATATAATAAAATTATATTTTTTCTAATACTTATCCATTGCATATATAAGTATCAAGAAAAACTAAATGCAGACAATTGTAGTTTGAAATAAATAAATACATAAAAGTGTTTTATGATGACCCTTGATAAGTCAAAGAATAATAATAAGACACTGGGTGGATTTGTGTATGTCAAAGACAAAAAAAAAACTGGCAATATTGCAGTAACATCAATATTAGAAAAAATCCATAATGATTTACAAAAATCACCAGCAAGTAATCCAGCAGGCAACTGGAGGACACACAAACAAGCACGCACATGCATGCATTGTCGTTCACACACAATGCGCGAACAAACACACACATACACACACACACACACACACACACACACACACTCAAAATCATCAGCAAAATATGCTGATGCTGTGTATTCAAGAAACAACAATATAATCCGTGCACTAAAATCCATGCTATAAAAAGATATACATTCTTCTTATTATATACAGTTATTTTGTTTTATGCTTTCCGTTATATATATTTATTTATATACATATATTTTACTCTGCAAGCACTTTATGGCAGATTTTTAAAAATTCTTTAAGAGTTTTTTTCTTTACATTAAAAATAAGGGAGTATGTTAGTTTGCAACATTTAATCCCTTTCTCTCAATATACACGTCATCATATTTTTTATGTGAAGCTCAAATCTAATACAAATTAAACAAACATTAAAGGTAAACTAAAAATAATAAAAAGCACTTTTTAATGCCTTAATTACATGTAATAATAATTAGTTACAATTATTGTGAACACTGAAGAACAATGGTTATACACAATGTATAATTTATTGTGTTCATTTTGGCTATTTTTGGTTCATACCTATAAGCACTAAAAGTTTTGAGTTGTTGTCACTTTACATTTTTGGCACCTTTGCAAAAACATATAGTATCTTACAGTAACTGGTATATTCTAAGGAAAATACTGATTAAAAAAAAAATTCATTAAAAATAAAGAATTTCTCATTTAAGTTCAAGGCTGCAGTCAAGTTCAAGTTTGGGAACTTGTTGTTCTGGCTGTGGCCTACAGTTTCCTTTAACTCTGCTTTTGCAGTATATTCATGAAACATTAGTACCTATGAATATAAAATAAAAATAAAAAAATCTATAGAAACTATATGAAATATACTGACTGATAAAATCTATTAAAAAAACATTTTCGACTGTTGTACGGGTTTAAAAGAATTAACACTTTGAACACACCATTTCATGGTGTCAAGTCTGACACAAATATAAAAATATGTTCACTATTGGTAAATATCTCAATATCTTACATCCCACAGAAAGAAAGTTCTTAAATTATACATGCAAATATGTACGTTTATTGTGTTGGCTACTTGTATTTGCGTGTGTGTGTGTGTGTGTGTGTGTTCCATTACTGGCTTTGCTGTAATTGCTATGTAGCTGTAGTAAAGCTGAAATTTGCCTCAGTGCACAGAATGCCTCATTGTGGGCAATACCAGGCTGTTGGATTGGTCAGGTATACTTTTACAGAGAGAGAAAATACTGCAAACCCTCACCACCCTGCCATCTGCCTCTCAACATGCAACCTTCCCCTGGACTCCTGCCATCCACTGCCAAAAAGGCCTTAGGGTGGAGTAGTGTGATTCTCTGGCAGCCAAAACCATGTGTCCACTGCTAGTTAGGCAGAGGTTATCATCATATGAATGAACAGAACTTTTTGGAAAAGCTGAACCTGAATCTTGAATCACCTGAAAGTTGTGAGTGAGATCAGGTTGGCTTTGCCCTTCAGTCTCCTTTTATATGAACACAGATAAGCAGCTGAACATCTGAGCCGATATTAGAAATCCATAGCCTAAAGTAGAAGATTTTCAAGAATCAACTGCTAATAATTCAGGTTTTAAAAAAAAAGTAATTAGAAAACAGTGATTACGATGTATTTGGTTGCCCTTACAGGCAATACCACAAATTAAATACTATTTAGACCTGGGGTTTGTAAATTGACACATGAATGTCTCATTCGCTAATGCAACCTGAATTTTCCATTAATTTGATTAAGTTAACTCCCAAGTACCTGACAAAGAACCAAATGAGACTAAATAAATTAAAATTTTATTTAAAAAAAATCTATTGCCAAATTCAACATTTCGCAGTCGTTTTTGTGAAATTACTTCATGACTGCTTACACAGGTTGATTGCTCATTCAAGTTTGTTCTTCGAATGAAAACGAGGAAATGTTTTACAATTTTGATAATTTTAATTTTGAGAGGAGTCTTTACACTTACGTCATACACGTCATAAGCAAAGAAGAAATCCTGTGAAATCCTGTGTTAGGCATAGATCCACTAAATAAATAAATAAGTAAATCAGGAAATGATGTGATCAACATTAGAATTAGGTGTTTAGTCACAAATACCTTGCAAATGGAAAAGTGATGGACTCTTATTTCTTCTTCAGTGAAATACAAGTTTGGCAAATACTTGACGCAAAACTTAAAATTCAAAGAAATTGAGAATATTCTCATTGAAATTAAGCTGACAATGAAAACGATCAGTACACCACGTACTTCTCTTCATCCAGCACATACAAAGCCCGGACCACATCACTCATATGAAATACCTCCACAATCGTGGCCTTCCACTCATCCACTGATTACCATGAAGTAGGATTATCCTGGCAGCAATCAAAGTGCTATTAATAACTTTTGGTTTTACATTACTAAATTACAACTAGGTTTTTGTGGGGGCCAGGAAAAAGTTATGGAAAAGCATTCTCAGAGTCAAAGGAATAGCTATGTCGCTCTTATATGTGCTATGCTCCTAAACTACATGGGCATGTAGTCGTTTAGATTCAGACGTATTAACGCGCACTCAAGTAAAATGAAACTTGTGTAAGAACCTCAAGTGCATCAAAGTACAGGGTCCCTGTTAAACATTGAATGTTAAAAGATGTAAACACACAAGTAGACTTCCATCAAACGCATGCAAGTGTACACATATAACATAGATATTACTCACCAATTTTTCAAAGCAAGTCCGGTCGGGAATGCGACATTCGGCAGCTCTTCCTGTTTTGATCCACATCTCTGTCAAGGAGAGGAGAAAGTCATAAGCTCCTGTTTGGTGGTTCTTGCAAGACTGATTTCCCTCAGACTGTCCCCGTCACAGCTGGGCCAAAGCCCCAGCTCCAGCCTGAGTCTTAGCCTCAATCTCAGCTCCAGGCTCACTCCCTCTTCCAGCCACAGTCTGAGCCCCAAACTCAGGGCTGCATGGCTTGCCTGCCACCGGCTGGGTCCAGGTCTGGTGAGGCCTGAAACAATAGGAGGCCATGAGGCAGTCTGCAAGGCTCCAGCTAAGCCCGTCTGCTAGTTAAGTCTTTGAATGAGGAATGTTAGCAAACAGACAAACAGCATGTCTGATGCATGCAAATAGCACAACCAGTCCAGTCACAGCCTTGGCTGGGCACATGAATAATTCAGCAGTCTATATGCTGCTCTCCCACATTGCTCCCTCCCTCTTCCCAAATGAAATGCCTTCACTAGAATAAGTGTGGTAAAGTATTCAAACCTCTGCTTTACCAACAGCCTTGGTCACAAAAATCAGTTTTAATACTTCATACAAACATGCAATAATAGCACAAAGTGGCCATGTGGAGACACAACATGCAGGCCTACTTCTGACATTCTGCTTTAACAATTCGAAATTTCGCAATTACTAAATATTTTTCTCTTATTGCCTTTTAATGTCTTTTGTTTGCAGTTGGCACCTGTCCCAGAAAGAGCTCCGGCTCAGCACACCACTCTCTCCCCTGTTAGGAGAGCGAGTCGGTGTGAAAGAGAGAGAACAAGGGAGAGCGAGAGACAGAGACACACAGAGAGAGGACATGGGAAGGAAACAGAAGAAGAGACAGGGAGTAAAGATGAAGGAGGTGCGGTACTTCACACCAGTCGCTGGCGCTGATGAAGGACATGTCTTTAAAACACAGATGTGTACCACGCTAAGATACTGGTAACATTCTCTGCTTGTCATCCATAGTGGTCATCCAGACCAAGAGCCCACCATAAGCAGGTTACTCGTCAGAAATGGCGCCCCGGCACTCCAGGTGGAACAAGGCCCATCACATGGCGAAACACCACCTTGACGAATTTCCATCCAAAAAGAAAGAAACTAAATAAATACTGCTAGAAACCCATCAGCAGAGGAAAAAATAAGAAGATTCGGTACATTTTTAGAAAACAAAATACAGAAGAACAGAAGAAAGAGCGCCAAAATCCAAAGTGATGCAAAAATGAATGCGCCAAAAGTAAGAAAAGGCCCCTAAAAAGCAACTTGTTGCCAGGTTTTGCAGAGCTGCTGTGCAGCTAGTTGGAGGCAGAGGGTTAAAATCCAGCTAGTAGTGAGTGAAAAAAAAAGCTCCGTCTATGGAAGGGCGGGCTGTGGGGAGGCCCTGACTGTAGAAATAGCAGCAGACCTTTTTTCTTTTTTTCCCCCTCGCAGAGCTTAAGTCTCCCCCTTGCGTGTGGCTGGAGCAGAAAGAGGGGAGCAAGCGAAACAGAGAGAGAAAAAGAAAAGAGAGAGAGAGAGGAAGAGAGGAGGAGACAGCAAGCGCACAGTGAAGGGGAGAAATGCTCCACTGATGATGAAATAGGAGGTGCGGCGGAGCGCGCGAACCAGTCACTTTTTCATCACATGTCCAACACGGCAAGGATTTGCACTGGAGACGGGGGAGAAGGAGGGAGGGAGGGAGGGAGCATAAGATGGGTGGGAGACAGAGACACAGAAGGAAAGAGAGAGAGGTAGAGTGGGAGGGTGGAAAGCACTCAATGTGGGAGGGGTGGAGGAGGAAGAATGACACAGAAATCCACTCCTCCAGCACTGCGCAGACGCAGTCCACACACTTACACGCCATACTGGGATACACTATACAGCACCTCAGCTACTATATCAACTAGTGAAAAGAAAAGCGGGGAAAAGGAGAATACACAGTCATTCAGAATGGACTGCCCCACTGAAGGATCCTTAAAATATGCAACACTTCTGAGAGCTGGTTGAATTATTAACCTTATCTCTTACTGTAGTGGGGCTCTTGTCGCTGCAACTGTCTTGGGAGCACACTCTGAAAGGAGCACACACACACACTCTCCAAGTGCATTAACTCTTTAGCATGCCACAGTTATTAGCGTGAATGCACAGAATAGACCAGACAGGGGCAAACACACACATAAGAAAAAAGATAAGCTTCCAGTGTTTATTTCAGTAACATGTGCAAAGAACGCACGGCTAGGACCCTCCTCCTTGCTCCGACTCTGTCACAAAGCAAGCTGAACGCTGCAGCTGAATCCTTGCAGCTATTTTGGCACAAAGCCAGAAGGCTGATAAGCATTTTTGGGTGAGACTTTGCTGCTTTTCCTTGAGGAAAAACAGCTGCCACTTGCCCGGTAAAGCGCATTCAACAGTTCAGAGAAAAAATTTCGAGAACCCCGCACCCACCCCCAGAGATGCTGATTCGTCCTGCTTAAAATAGAGGAGATTTACATGCAGAGTAAGCAAGCCAGAGAGTTAACCAGAAGGAGAGAACCAAAACAGAATGGCTGTTTCCACCATCTTAGATTGTATTGATTATTCTTTGCTGTAACGTCTGTCTCTCACACACGCTCTTTTTCTCTCCCTTTCTGTCCCTCCCTCCCTCTTTCTGCCTCTGTTCTGCCACCTTCTCTACTCTGCGATCAGCATTTGGCTTTTTCCATTTGTGGCAGATTACTGTAACGCTATTGTACAACAACTTCCTGCCTCTTTTGGCTCTGGTTCTAAAAACTGTAAAGGCAGAGCTGGTGGCTTCAACTTTTTCCCCTCGGCCTTGAACTACAGGAGCTCTATAAGGAAAGAAAAGAAGGAAGGAGATATGTGTGTGTCTGTTACTGAGGAACTATTTTCATTGCATTTCTACTTTATAAACAGCTGAGAATTAAAGAGGGCAAGAGGGGACTACATGCCTTGCAGAGACAATGAAAAAGGTGGGGGTTAAACTTTTCTTACTTTTACTGTGAAAACTCTCTGTTGGTTTTGGAGGGCACTGCATTATTAGTGGGGCTCAAGCTCACGCAGATTTGTCTAACATGGCTGCTACTGCTTCAGGCTGCACAGTTTGTGAGGGCTGCTTTCATAGCACAGCCACCACCCCGTTCCTCGCCAGCTCTGTTTCTCACTATAGCAGCACAGAAACTAGATTCTGTTTTCCCCTCTGCACTTCTCTTTGCTCCACAAGTTTCAATAAAAAAACAACAACCAAAAAAAAAACACAGGTGGCCAAACACAAAGTGCAGAAAGTCAGAGCAAAATGATAGGATTATTTATACCAACTTTGTGCAGGAAAAGGCTGGACTGCAATTTGTTTGTTCCCTGTCCTCCTTCCCTAAATGAGATACGAGCTTGGTTCAGGCGTCTGCATTGGCATGAGCTATAGAATCCTGTAAGAAGGAGTGCAGCTGTACGTCACATCTCGCCATGTGTTTTAACCAATTGAAAAACCCATGACTTCATTATGGCTTCAATGTATAAAGCTGCAATGTCTATATGTTAAGAGCCCTGAAAAATAATGTGGATCATAAAACAGAATATTTTCTGGTCCGAGCATTAAACGTAGCTGTTTTAGAGAGGCACACTTTGTGTATTTATGCTCAGTGAGCGAACAGCACTTTGAATGGCATAAAGTTCATTTGAGGATACAGTTTTGGTTTTGGGTTGCCTGCCAGCTCGTAACCACAGTGCTCCTAAACATTGTTTCTCTGCTGCATTTGCCAGTAATTGATCACGTTTTAATTTTACAGTCACAATTTTGAATATTTTAGCAACTAATACAAACTAAATGATTAAATAAATCTGTTTCCGAAGAAATACACTGTTGAAGGTGCAAACCTGTACTATTTTAAATTATTTTTTACTACTACTAATATTTATAGCAGATAAAGTTATCAAGTTATATATTATATATTAAGGTTTTTAGCGTGTACTTAGAGGAAATAAGATGAGAAAGGTGACAGCTTTTCATCTACTACATGGCTGCAACATCTGTGTGATACAGAATCGTTCAATCGGGCCAATTGATGACACGATGTGAAACAAAATGGCAGATGCCGCCATGTTATGGATTCTGACCGAAATCATTTGAGTATAATTTTTAGAAGAAAAAAAACCAACTTGCTCTCTAAATGCAGACTCATTATGAAAAAAACCACAAGGTCACTACTTTGATTAGTCATATTAACATTTCTGTTTTGAATCTTATAAAAAACACAACAAAAGCGTATTAAGAATGCTACACAGTGGAGTAAATATTTGTTTTAAAGGTATAAATTAAATAGCAATATAAACATATACACATATATATATACAACTTTTGTAATAATAATTAGATTTGAGCTATTATCACACAATTCATATAAAAAAATCAAATGATTGGGCCTCGAATAAATTTCCTGTCTTAGACTGATTAAGCCCTCAGCCTCATATTCTATCAGTGTGCTGTGGTCTGCTGCAGTCAGGAAAACACACTAAACATATATTGAAATGTAACACTCCCTATTACCGAAAGTTCAGATAAGGGGAAAGGACAAGGACACATTATGAATATATATGCTGTTTTTCTATGTCTGAGGAGAGCTGGAGGAATATGAAATTGCAGTGAACACAGCATCTGCAAAGACTAACAATATTTGTACTTAGTCATTTGCAAACATCAAGGAGGCATTATGATGTTCGGGGGGGGAGGGTGGGGGGGGGGTTCTGTGCTTGGTCAGCAACCACCACTACATCAACATAGCAGACATGATATGTGGCACATAAAAACCTATGTATATTCTAATAGACTTATTCAAGGGGATAAAAGCTAACCACAGAAGTATCCCTACACTACGAGGGAATACTTTATACTCTCCAGGAGCAGGAGCAGAGTCTATGAGGTGGTCTTGCTTAAGCCCTGCACGTGTCTAAACAACTTCTCTATTACACCCGAGACCTTTGAGGGCACTCCCCATCGAGCGGGGAACAAAGGCTATGACCCCTAGGTCAAAAGCGTTACACGGTAGGCCAAGCGGGGCCATTGAAGACTCCAGTGTTGTTTGCTTTGAGAAGGTAAAGATTACTAACACATTAACTAACGCCGATTAGGGGGTTATCCCTCATGGGACTGAGGTCCCAGGGCAGCACATCACGTCTTATTAACACAACCTAGCCTTTGACCCCACCAGTCACCTCAGGCAGCCGACTGTGACCACCACACTCTGCTTCTGTTCGAACAGCACACACACCCACACACACACACAGACAATAAATGAAGAGTATCGCTGCAAGGTGCAGCACAGCTTGACAAAACAACTTGACTGGACAAACATGAGCAAATGATACAACATTATCACTGTTTTTCCAGTGGCACTCCTGTTCGAAAATGACGAACATTTGGCTTGCTTTAGCAGACTGTACATCATCTGTGCATCCGTAAATACTCAGAATATTTCGAAATAGCATAACTTTGTAATTAAACATGATCGATTCAAATAAAATGTTTTTAAGGCCTCTGAATTTAAAGCACGTGTACTACCGAAGTTCATAAAATGGGAGCATGTGCAATGAAGTTCTCATCACAAAATGGTGGACACAAGTCATGCGCAGTATTGATGTTCCAGATGATCATGTGATGAAAGGCAAGAAAGGGACAATTTCTTCACAAATTCTTTCTGCCAGCTACTCAAACATTACTTTTGCATCAGCAGAGAGGTAAAACTAAAATGTCGTGCTGAGCATACTTAACCCTGTGTGTCCAGAAAGAGCAAGCCAATAATACCTTAAAATGAGACATAAATCACGCTCACTATCTTCGAAATTACTGCTTGTGATTAGATCGTTTGTGCTTGTCACTCATAAAATAAAATACCATGGTAATATCAATTTAATTGAGCCAGAAGAATATCAGGATAAGTGATTTTTTCCCCTGGAGTGTTCCTCCAAGGTCAAGTTCATGCTTGTGCAAGGAATGTAAAAATTACAAAACTGTTTTTCCTCAAGTTGTCTCCTCATGTAAAACTTGTAGATATTAAAACTGAGCATTTATTTGATTTACTATACTTGATTGACTTATTTACTAAATTAATACATTAATCATTATCACATTAATAATATGAAATATATATTATGTTTGAATTTGCTATTGGCTTAAAAAGCTGACTAAGATATTAAATTGCTGTCTGCTCTCTCAGTGAGTGCTGCCCTCATTGATAAGAAAAATAAAACAGATTAAAGCCAATGCTAAATAATTATTTATTGGAAGTAGGTCAAGGAAAAATAATGCAAACGTGTAGTATTTGAGTTTAATTAATAATAATAATAATAATCATTATAATAATAATAAAGTGTCGCTCTTTTCCCCCTTTATGTTAGCTTTAGTGTAAGGTCTAAGAGGACATTTATTATAAAAAAACTAAAATGTCAAGGATACTGATTTTGTTTTGGCAAATATTTAATAATGTATGAAATGTATGGGTTTGATGTATAAAACCCATCACATTTGTATTACCTTATTTAATTTTGTTTCTGCAAAAACAAACATCTAAGTCATAATTACACTGTAACACATATATACATATTTTCTGTTCCCTGGGCAGAGATACACAGCACGAACATGTGCTTCACAAAACTTTCAAAAGTTCGTTTTTATGTGACAACTAAAGAAAACAGCAAACTATGTGAACAAGTGTTCAATTTTAAAAGATAAACTTCTGAATAAATTACAATTTTGCATCTGTAAGCATAAAAATTAGCATTCTGAATGGGATTTAAATTTATACAGTAAATAAATCTAATAAAGGCAATACTTTTTTCCTCAAGGAACATCTCTGATCATTTAGTGACATATTTTAAAACATGGCATATTTAAAATGTAATCATTGCTTGTAAATGCATGAATTATGGCACTTGATTATTTTATTTTATTGGAAATTAGTTCAATTGACTTTTTTAAAATGTGCCCTATTACAGTTGTCTAATCTCAAAGCGCAAAGGAGGGCATTGATTTTTGCATGTGCCAAACGCCTATCAGTTAGCTTGTGATCTGCTGCCTTCATATTCAACAAATCAGAAATACAACATCAGAAGAAATCATGATATGAACAGTGTTTTAAATAATTTTAAAGACTTATTCTAAAGAAACTACATTTGTAGAAAGGTCAAGTGAAGTGGACCAAATCCTCCTAACAAGAAAACAGATATAAAATCCTTTTTTAAGCAGGAATTAACTCACCTTGCTGCCTCTCACAGGCTTCTGAAAGAAGAAGAGGAGGAAAAGAGCAAAGAAGAGTTTCTCCTGGGAACAAGCTGGAAATTACGGACCTATTCGATATCAGACCTCAGAGTGGACAACCTATCCAAAGAGGGACGCGCCCTAACTGTAACTAACAACTACTTCTGGCAGCCCTTCAACAGCCAAACATATTGTCCTGGATCAGGGCAGCTTTCATATGGCAGCATCAAACTAGGGCAACTTAGAAAAGAAATCCACATCAAACTACAGAATCAATAATGGTATTAAAATGTTGATAACAATGCATTAAAGCTAAATTAATGTGCTTTTTAATGAGATATAGATTGGGCTGTAAACTAGAACCACTTCTCATCATTTGCTCAACTTTAAATATGTTAAAGTGATAGAGACTAGGGAGAAGGCAAATTAAACTAAGATTTTTCTATTAAATATTATCATATATAACCCACCTGTACACATACGTTTTTTATTCCTGTGATATTACAAGAATAGAATCAAAACCTGATACAACATCGTATACTGATGCAACCATACTTTCCGAAGAGCCACGTTTTCAGTTGAAGCTATACAAAACAACAAAACAAAACTACAATATTGCAGAAGTAAGCACAACATGTTGTACTTTGTTGTAATTGTATTGTAATCATTTGATATAAAAAAAGGTCATATTAATTTAAGAATTCCTTTAAATAGAGTTGGAATGTATCAATTGTAATACCTTTACCTTTACATTATTGTCATCATGAGAGATATTTCAGTGTACACTTGTATAATTTCAGCAGCATAAATAATGGTTATTATTATTATTGTGTTAGTTAAACTGCAGTGTAAAAATACTGAGCTAAGGCACAGGGACAAATTCTCAAAAGTCAACGATGGGTTATAATTAAAAATAAAATGATCCTTTTCTGTCCACTTTACTTGCCTGCACCTACATGACAGAACTCTCCCTTTGCAGTTTTCCCCTGAGGGTAGTTAATACCTACTTTAAACAGTCTTGGCCATTTTGTTTTATTCTCCCTCAACACTAAGCCAGGAGTGCACAGGCCTGGCATTTTTGGGGCCACGTCACAACGCCTGTGTCTGCGCCGCAGGGCTGCAAGGAGTCCAACAGTCGAGCCATACACACTCAGCGGGTCACTGCCTCAACAAACACTTTATGTGTGCTGTTTTGTTGTCTTACATGCTCTCTCTAGCATCCTTGCTCTACTGAGAACAGCATAACAGGCACCTAATACACTTTATCCATTTCATAAACTCTTCTTTCCATCTCCAACACTGACCCACTGAGCCTTCCCTTCCTGAATCACTTCACAGCACTTTCTCTCCTCTGATTACCACCATAAAGTTAGCTCAGTCACAAAATAGATAAATAAATGCTCATCCAATTCCCAATTCGGCAATGCCATTTAATGAGCTTTATAACCGTTTCTAACTTTCTGCACATTAAAACAAAATCTGTGTTGTCCTTTAAAAGGGGACACGGTACTGATACTGATTTGGAAGTGGCAAGGATAAAAACACTGATTAGGTGAATTCCACTTGGGCTGAGGGACTGTAAATGATGGGTGTAATGTTATTAGCAGAGGGATATTTATCTATGTGGGAGAAAAGCAGCACTTCATAGGACAGCTGCGAAAACAGAGGTTTTATTACTCTGTGGGCTATTTCTGCAAATTTAGTGGCTGTTTCAATTTAAGTTAAATATTATCTTTAAGATGACCAAAAGACATGGTTCAAATTTCAAAGAAAACTAATTTGGGGCAGAAACTGTACATGTCTAAAACTGTACATTGCACATATTTTTTAAATTATATTTATTACTTCTACTCTGTCTTTTGCTTCGTGTGGTTGTTCACATTTTACAGTACGCAGACGTTGAAAGTAATGATCCTGGACATGATGTTAAGAGACATTATTGTAAATATTACCCTTTATGGTACAGTACTTTGTTTCCTGCCAGATAATAATTGGCCAGTGTCCTGTGACTTTTTCTATTACTCTGTATTATGGTTGTGCCCATCAGAGGAGCAAGTACAGGCACTGAAGATGACATGCACATTCTGAAAAGGGGTTGTTTCTGGGTACACAGGGGTCAACAACTGGTAGACTGTGTGCTTCATGCAGAGGTTTTTTTGCTCTTACACGGTATACTGAATATACTGGGTTACTGGGTACAGAAAATGAATATGCAGGTGAAATTGAAGTTGTCTGTTGTCTTTCTTATTTAAATGTGCAATGACTTTTTGCCTTGTTTCAGGTTGTCTGCATCTCATCTGAAGTGTGTAATGAAAACAGCTTATTATTATTATTATTATTATTATTACTGTTGTCATTATCATAATCATTATTTCTCATGTTATTTTAATGTGATTGAGGGAACAGGCAGCCTTGCTCCTCATGATTATGGATGCAGACACATAACAGAGCTTACAGGGTAAACATTAGTTTATTGGTGCTAAATTACTAAATTGCTACTTTTTGTGATTCAGTGTCCCTGTGTGTAAATTACATGTACTCCTTATGCTAGACTGTGCTGACTAGATGGTGAGTAATAAATCTCTGGTTTGTCCATCATCATCATCATCGTCATCATCAGACTAAAGGTGTGGACAGCAGGCGAGAAAGTGCGATATGACAGCCCCTGACCTTTCACACCAGCTTAGAGAGGCAGAGGGTCAAACAGAGGACATGGTGGTGCAGGGAGAAGTCAATCTTATCCTTCCGTTCCGCCACAGGCCTGTGTGCAGCGACAGCAAGATGAGCAAGTGGGCTTTCCAAAATCCACACTCGTTTGGCTGGGAGCAAGGCATCAGGGCCGTGTGTATTTCAAAGGAAACGCTGAGGAAAGCGTTTTTGTAGCAGCACCCCTGCACTTGACAGTGTGTATTAGCCTGCCTCTGTGTCTTTGCTCTGTCCCAACCCTGACTCAATATCCCTCAGCACCAATATCTGTCATCTTTGTTAGCCAAAATGTCATACAGCCCATTTGTCTCAGTGAAGAATTCTACCTTGTCTCGTCTCATCTTGATATGGTTCTCACATGTATGGACATTTATTGGTCATTCACATCTATACACATTACAAACACCACCAGCCAGGGTGGGACATTCATTTGTTAAAATGTAAACATCTACCAGCCACTCAATAGTAAATCATAATTTTGTGTCTGAAACCTACCAGCTACTTCCATATTTCACCATATTTCATTTGGCTGGTGGTAATTTCCCAACCTGCCTCCAGCTCTGCTAAGCAGCGCAGGGCCGAGGGGTTAAAAGGCAGGAGGCACCGGAATGAGAGGGAGAGGAAAGCATCAGCTCTCGGACTGCCGTCAATTGAGCATTGCCTCTGTAATGGTGGTGGTGGGGTGGGGAGGGGTGTGGTGGGGGGCAATGACCTGGCACAGAACCAGCCACTAATGCCCCTTAAATGTCAGAGACTGCAGAAAGCAAGGGAGACAGCAAAAACGAGAGCACATTCATATTTCAGTATGGCAGATGCTATAATGCGTTGATGTCTCACACTGAGTGCACACGAGGACACCAGGAGAGAGAAATAGAGAAGACAGACATGAAAAACGGGAAATGAAAAAGAGAAAAAAGGGGCTTTGCAGCAGTGATGGAAGCAGCTCCATCTGATGGTTGTCTCTATTTGACAAAGTTCAGAGTGGATCTGTCTCTCTCTCTCTCCCTCTCTCTCCCTCTCTATCTTCTGCAGACGAAA